TTGCACCCCTTCTCCAGACAGGACCGTCTGACAGTCGTTGTTTACAATACAACCGGAGCACATGTCGCTGAGGTGAGGGGCGGGACGTTTTTAGATGCGCACTAGAGGTGGTTTAGCCAATCACAACACACTGGGCTAGCTAACCAATCAGAGCCCATCGCCTATTTCTGAGGGCGGGGCTTCAAAAAAACAGGAAAAGATCAGCCCGTTTCTCAGAGAAGGGACAGAGCGGTGTGGAATAAAGGTAAATTATGTGAAAAATAATGCGTTTTTAAAAAAACGAAGCATTAACACATGTTAGACTGCACCCCATAAACACAATCCAGCCTAGAAAAAAAACAGTGAACCACCCCTTTAAAGTAAAAAATATTGGCAAAAAACTCTCACGAGATGATGATTGCGTTGTCAATGGAGAAACTGTCAGAAGGGAGGCCAGCAATGGTCCAGCTGCGGATTTTCACCGGCTCACCCAGGGAGTTCATCAGTGACATGTTCTTGGAGCAGGGAATTCCTCTTGTCTTACACATGTCAATCCACTCCTCTGTAGCTCGCTGTAGATGTCAGACACAGAAACACACACACGGCTCAAGAAAGACAACATGATCACAGCTGCTTTAGACAGTCTGATCCAGAAACAACCACTGATGGGCCTACAGAGAAAATGTTTAATCCTATTTGAGAACACAGATCCATATATCCAACCTTATCTGTTAGTTTCAACCTAATACTGGTATTGTGGACAGAACTATTATCGTTTCGATATCTTTGTTTTTGGTTTAAATCTAATAAAGACTTACTGCACACAAAGGTAATAAGCTGTGTGTCATGTACCTGCACAAAAGCTTATATAAAAGACCCTCTTCTGGGAGAAAAGATATTGCTTTCACAGAGGGGGAAATATTAAAGTGAAACTACTCCCTGTTCCCTGAGTGCTATTTCAAACTCACCATAGCAATACCTGGTATTGTACAAAGTGTTTTCACTGAGTTCATTCATTTTTTATGGAACCTGCTCTGCTGTTAAGAGTAACCAGCTGACAGAGACAAATGTGTAAAAATAATAGCTATAGAGGATATCAAAAACACTGTAATATTGCTCAACCTGGGACGCATAAACTGTACTGAATATGAATATGAATTTCACTCATGTTACAGTGCTTAGACTCAAATTTAATGGAAAAGCAAACAAGGCTTAAGGTTATGTGTCAAATGCAGTTCTGCCAGACAAACCCTCTCCCATATGTCTTTCAATGTTAAATATAGACTCTCTTCTATACTGTAAAATACTGCCAGGATTTTGGAACATTTAGCTATATCTTTGGACAAAAAATATTACATTTAAATTTTTACTATGAAATTAATCGCTCTAATCGCTTACAGTACACAACCATGTTTTGCTGCATTGTGTGATCTGATCTCACAAATGGGAAATACCCATAAGTCTTTGAATAATGTATTAAATATTAAATACTTCACTACTTGGGGACATGTAGATATTGTAAATATGATATGGTCAATAGTGATTAGTTTGCTCATTGGCTAGCAAATGCAAAACAAAACAAAAACAAAACAAAATTTTGCTTAATATCTGAATTTTTACATATTTGTATTTAAATGAACCAACAGTTCAAAAGACAAAATAAATAAACAAAAAGTCTGAGTTTAAATGTACTAGAATATATGTGTGAATACAAATGTCTCAGCTCAATGACTTTCCACTTTGAAAATAATTTTAATTAGCACCCTTTTTAAAATCTGTGAAGATATGAACAATGTGGGTTGATAAGCACATGGATTGGCAGGAGAAATGGACTGTTTTATGAGTTGGCACACCTGTCTAAAACTGGAAGTAAAGGCACCCAGATAGGCCACTATAGCAGCAGAGATGAGAATGTCTCCGGTGAGGTTGTTGTAGAGTTCACCTAAGTTATAGGCTGTCTCACTCCAGCGGGTCTTCTCTCCTCCTAACCCACCAATGAGCTGCTCTGCACGCTCTAACTTTTTACTGCACAACTCCACCTACAGAAAAAAAAAAAGGAAAATGAAGAGACTAAAGGATGCATACATACATGTGGACATACATTACTGTTCAAGAGTTTGAGTTCATTAAGGTTTTTAAAGTATACTTTTATTCAGCAAGGGCACAGTAAATTCATAGTAAAGACAAACATAATGTTTCAAATAAATGCTGTTCTTTTAAACTTTCTATTCATCAGAGAACACTGAAATACGTTTTTTTCTCAATCGATTTGACACTTTTCTCCAATGCAGTGTACTTGTTCTCAAAACATTTAACACAGCCATCCAAACACAAAATTATCTTAACCAAGCAAAGTGAAGCACTGCAGTTTTTTCTAGTAATGCAATTATTAAAATTAAATATCAACATCAAATCTATAGGTGTGTTCTCTATTGATTATAAAACATTCAGCTGTAGATGCACAAATATGCTAATGAAAATACATATTTATTGCAATTCTTCAACAGGGAGTTTTGTTTTATATATATTGTGTATATTTAAACGAAATAAAAATTGTTATCCAACACCTGCGAGAATTTCATTGCATTTTATCTACACTACATATTTGCTGCGCTTGCATAATAGGAGAAAAAATGTAAGAAGGTTGAATCCATGCTTGAAAAGCCCCTGTCTCAACATCTCGAATATTTATCAGTTTAGGGCCAATCGAAAATATACTATGTTCATTTGATCGAATGACAAATTACAGAGTTATTTGTTTGTTGTGTTTGGACAAATGGTACATAAATGTTTGTGATTTGTGTAAAACAATTTTTCAGATATTTTAAAGTATTGGTTGGTTGTATTAACTATAGTGAAAACATTTGAGAGTTTTGTGCACATTGTTTTGAGAAAATTATTTGCATGATTTGTAATTTGTATAAAATGAATGAAAACGCACAATCTGTTTAGGACAATTACAAAGTATTCAGATCACTGTGTTAACTGTTTTGAGAACAGTGACCTGAGTTTGGAGACTTGTCAAATCAATTGAGAAAAACTGTAAATGTATCAGTTTCCACAAAAATATTGAGAGCAGCACAACTGTTTTCAACATTGATAATAAAAAGAAATGTTTCTTGAGCAGTAAATCAGCATATTAAGAATGATTTCTGAAGGGTCGTGTGACACTGAAAACCGGAGTGAAAATTGATGACTGATGAAAATTCAGGTTTGCCAGCACACAAATAAATTACATTTAAAATATATATTTAAAAAGAAAACAATTATTGAATGCAGCCTTGTTTAGTATAAGTGACTGTTTTCAAATCTTGGAATTTTAAATCCTAGTGTACATAACACACGTTTGAACACATACTCCCTGATGTGTACAATATTAACTAAAGGCCAGTTCTGATTAGGTCACCATTTTATGAGATGAAGCAGCATCAGCACATTTAACATAATTTAAAAACAGCTAAAACAGGTGTTGGCATCAAAGATACAGCAGGTTAAGTGTGGCTGTCATCTGTATTCAGAGATAATCAGCCATTCGCACAGTTTAGAAAACGATGATCAGATATGACTGCATTTATATAAAACATTTGTGACCATAAGTGAATGTTTACTACACAAACATCCTTCTAAATAAAGCATCTAACTGAATGTCTGATTCACTAGTGCAGGCCCTCTTTCATCATCACAGAAAAATGGATCTTTAAACCCCCAGTTTGGCACCAGAGAAACACAGTCTTTGTTTGAAATGACAGAGTGAGCCTGCACAGCTACTGCAGAGAGTGATGAGAGCTCAGCGCTTGGGCACGAAGCTGACAGCACAATCACTGAACAATCCAAACATCTTATTCACTCCCTGTAATGGTACTTCACTAATTCTTTGTGACACTGCTGCATCCGGCAGCATGACACTTCATGCTCTTTGAGATGAATTCCTCCATAATTCCTGTTCTTTCTAACTCATATTCCAAAGTGAGAAAACAATTTAAAAGAGACCGTTGCAGTGGAGCTTCAGGAACAGCATAACAGGTTTGCCTTAGTGCATTCAAGTGCCTTGATTCTGGGCCATGCTTGAGAGAGCATGGCATAAACAATTTCTACCCTCCAATAGGGAAAACAGACAACCTGAATTACAAACATTGAGAAAAGGGGGAAAAAAGAAGAAGGAACATGAAAGGAAGTGAAATAGGGCAGAAAACGGCAGAAGGGCCTTGGTGATGCTTGGTTTACCCAAACACACACTAAACTGACAGGCAGTCTCTACAGACAAATGAGAACACCGTGTGTGTGTGTGGGTATGTGTGTGTGTGTGTGTGTGTGTGTTTGCGTGCATGTGCCCCTGTGTGTTTTCTGTGTGGGTTTAGAAACAAAGGCTTCACTCTTACAACTTCAAAGTTGGAACATAAAATGATCTGAAGTAAACAAAGAAGAAAAGGAAAACATTCCCTCAACTCCTCTTGATGTAAAAAAAAAAAAAAACTAAATTCCAAAATAAACAAACTTCCAGCAAAGAGCGGACATTTTAACAGGGTTGGGCCGCACTGGAGGTTACAAAGAATGTCAACAGAAAAAATAGTTGAACATGGTGTAATACGCAAGCCTTCAGGAAAAGTAGCCAACCGTTTGTTGATTGGCAGCATCTTGCGTAGCCCCTTTTGTGACTACTGTCCTCTGCTTACCTGATTTTCAAGGTCAGCCTTTTTGTTCTTGTTGGCTTCCAGGGTCTCCTGTAGTTTGGCCAATTTGTCCTGGACCTCCTTCAAAGCAGCCTGTTTCTTCTGGAGGCTCTCCATGGCCACCTTCAGCTTCTCTTCTGCAAGTGCCAACTTCTCTTTCTTAGGGGCCACTACCTTTGCTACTCTGCGAAGGAAAAAAGTTTGCACCATGAAATGGCTCTTATTAATAAATACTTTCACATCTTTGGTTCGTTAAGCTTTAACTCACTTATCGTAGGAGTCCATGGCACAAACCCATTTACAGAGCCCCTCTGCAGCAGCAGAGGCCGTGCGGATCTTATCTGGAACAAAGTCTGGGTTGGTGATGTATTTGTTGCGGATGACGCTCATGTAGTTGGCTGGAATATTGTCTTTATTGTACTCATGAAGGCTCTGGAGAAACTTCATGTCTCCTAGCAGTTTTTTTGCTGGGCCCCAGAAGTCCTCCACCTTCTTGCCAGAGCCTGAGGGGTCTGGGATACGGTCTGGTTTTATGCCTTTCAGGATGCAGATGGCTTCCATCACCAGCTTGACACCAGCTGGAGGATTCTTCATGGATTTAACTAAAGTTATATCCTACAGAGTGTGACACAGATTGATTTATTGGATATTGGCGGTATGCATTAGTTAAAAAGTACATAGTAAGAACATTCATCAAGTCACCAAGAGACACTGCTGGTGTTTATTACTTAAAGGGATAGTTCACCCAAAAATGAGAATTCAGGTATTTATTTACTCACACTCATGCCATTGTAAAGCTGTATGCCATTATTTCTTTTGTGAAACACAAATGAAGATATTATAAAAAAAATAAAAAAAACTTAGTTTTTGTACATCCAGTGGAAGTCAATGGTCACCAAAACTTATTGGTTACCAACATTTTTCAAAATTATCTTCTTTTGTGTTCCACGGCAAAAATAAAGTCATACAAGTTTTAGAAGGAGATGAGACTGAGTGAATGATGGCAGAATTTAACTCTCTAACTCATGCTAGAATGTGTTTCTTTGGCCAAAAACAATCTGAGAGCTCTTTGTTTCTATAAACATTTTGTATGCATCATAAATTATAATTAGTCAGTTGTAGTTTCCTCCAACCTGTGTGGTGAGAGTATTCAAAGCAGCCAATGCAGCTTCCAGAATGGGTACAGCAACCGCCAGATCGGCGTCACATTCATCTTTAATGGCCTTGGCAGCCATTGCCTGCTCATTAGCCTCTGCTTCATCCACGCGGACCACTTTCTCTGTCTTGGACACCTCCACAGACTCTCGCTGGATGACCACCATCATCTCTTCCACCTCTTTACTGGCCACACGCAGCTGAGGCTGAAGGGCCTCCAGCTCTACCTGCATTGTGGACACCTGAGTAGCAGCCGATTCCAACTTCTCGAGACCAACCTCATAACGACTCTTTAGTTTCATGACCTCACTGAAACAACAGAGATCAATAACAACATCATCATCACTGGCAAAAAATAATGCTGCTTATCATACAAAGAGTTCACATGCTAAAATGTGACACAACCTAATTATTCAAACCTAATCAGTCAGTGATTCTAATGTAAAGCCTCTAAGAGCAGGATGGCTTACGCTCTTTTTCCCTGGAGTAGATGCTTAAACATAGAAATGAGCTCCAAATACGAGGTTGGTGTGACATAGTTGTAGCGCTGCAGCTCCGAAAGGAAACATGCAGAGAGATTGATGGTGGATGTGTGGAAGCTTTTGCACATGCTGATACAGCCTTCCCGAGCAGTGTCTGTCATTTCAACGTCTTCCAAGAAACGAGACGCCACAGCCTGCAGCGCATCTTCTGGCCAGCTCTTTTGGAACATAATGATTCATTACGCTTTTAATTTTTGACTGTAGCAATGCAAAATTAAAATTAAACATGAAATAATTCTTGAATCCGTCAAAACAATTTGTTTAAAACAAGTGTTTAACATTTATATCACATTTTGAGGAGGTAAAGTCAATACAGAACCAGAGTTATTATTGTCAACTAAAATTAAAACCATAAACAATTACTTGAAATAAAATAAGTGTTAACTGAAATAAAATCTAAAAAACTTATTATATTTAACTTATTTTATTTCACATTTTCTTTTTTAGTTTAGTTTAATGTGAAGTACTAAATAATTAAAACTGTAATAATAAACTGAAAAAAAAAACTAATAAAAAATGACAAAACAACAAAATTACTAAAACTTTAAAGGGGTCATGAACCGCCTTTGTTTTTTATTTTGTACTGTTCTCTGAGGTCCACTTATAATGTTATCAAGATTTTTACATAAAAAAACATCAGTAATAAGCTATTATTTATTTAGAAGTAATAAGCTATTTTCTGTCCTGTTTTGACCCCCCTCATCAGAACACTCTGTTTGAATTGGCGTGGCGGATTGTAGACTCTGAAGTAAATGCTCACTGCTATGATTGGCTAACAGTTGTATGTATGTATGTTTGACAGCGACATTCCTCATAAATGGACGCTGGTGTGATTTAGGTCAAAAACGCATGACTCACACAATACATATCAAACGATCTGTAAGAAGAGACAAAGCAATAAAGACCATGTAATGAAAACACTTACACTTGTGTTGCGACATTACTGTCGGATTCAATATAGCTGGCACAGCATTGTCTTTTAGTTTCAATCTTTTTGAAAATCCCATGTTGAATTGTGCCTTGTTTGTAAACGAATCCGCGGTAAAATGAAGCGAACAAAGGACCAAGTTCTTACTGACGCGGTCTGGAACTTCATTAAAAATTAAGTTAATTCACTCTTTCCTAAATCAGAAGGAAGGCAACGCAAACACGTTTCCCCTTCAGGAACTCGAGCTGCGTCGGAAACGCTGGGGGCGTTCCCAAAGCGTTTCCGACGCAGCGTCTCGTTCCCTCGGGGAACCATGGTTACATTCGTAACCTGGAGACGTT